ACCTGGTCTAGACCTTATTTCTTGGGAACAGGAAGCATAAGGGTGAGAGCTGTCAATTACCTAAATACTTACTAAGATTTAAAAATTAGATATGTTTCTGCAAGCAGTTGAATATTTCTCTACTTTCTCAGGCTTCTTTCCAGGGTTAGAATTATGGTGCTTAAAAAACTTGTGTTTCTGAAAATTTAGTACTATTTTTCTTATGGTGTTTTGTTTTCTCTTGGGGCAGTTGGAGGGAATGAGCTGGTTTGTTTGGTGCCTTCGTTGTTCTAGCATATGGCTGCAAAATGTTGGGTTTATTCCACCATGAAACATATATAGATCACTTTTTTATAGCTATAAACTAGTCTGGGCTGTGCCTTATGGTCCATGTTTCCAGAAGTAAGGATGAACTCAAGGCGTCTGCAGAACTTGGATTTAATGCTATGGGCTTATTTTCCAAGAAAGCTCAGTGGGTTTCATGGAAGCATGTAGTGCTTGCATGGAATTGAACAGAATGTCGTTTGGATCTAAACCAGCAAACACACTTTGAAGCTTTGTATCAATGTTACACAGTGTCAGAATACTACAGGAGTGACCTTGCTCAGCTCTGAGCAGAGTAACAGTGCTGAGCACAGAGAAACTTGAACTCGGACCGAATAAAACTAACTTCCATCTTGATTGCATCTTTTGGTTTTGAGTTTTGCTTTTGCTGACCTTGAGATACTGAAACCTTCTGTATTACTTTTATATTTGCAGAAACATGATCCTCCCCTTAGTAGCATTCCCTGCTTTCATTACAAAAAAATGAAGGAAAATGAGGAAAGGGAACAAAACAATGACATAACCCCAAATGGGGAAGTATCACCTGTAAAGCACCTAGGTAAATCCTCAGAACTGGACTGCCAAACGGAAGAACCAGATTCCACTGCTGCTGATTCTGGGCCTTTAGATGACAAAGACCCCTCGGGGGGAGATGCAGCACAAGGAGCCTTGGGACAAGTTAAGGCCAAAGTTGAAGTATGTAAAGATGAATCTGTAGGTATGTATGGGAAGTGGAGTCTTGTCTTGGCTGGAGTTGGGGTAATGACATTTGGGAAGTTTTATTCCAAACTTGGCAACTGAACGATATCTTGTATGAGATCAAGGGGTCAGTTATCTGTCTGCACAGTCCTTCATATGCAGAGATCTGGGGAAATACATCCAGTATTAGAAATCAGTTTTGATTTTAACAGGAAGAGAAACATACAGTGAACTTTTTTCCTGAAGCCTTCAGAGTCCACGTGGAAAGGTTTTAACACAAAAAATGTGACCATTTTTGAAGTTTAGTCCTGTAGACTCTATCTCAGTTTAAAAATTAATGAAGTCAGTTGTATACATTGGAATTGCTGTTAAGTGTGTTTGTGTGACTTCTTTAAATAGGCTTTTCTGTGCAGTCTCTGTAGTGGCTGAATTATATCTGTTTTCAGTATAATCTCAAGTGGTGCAGTTAAACTAAATTTCCTTATTTGCCTAAGTCTAGCAGAATGGAATTGCACTCATACAAAGGGGTGTGGTGCTTCATTGTTTTATTTATGCAAGTCTGATAGCCTTCACACAAAAAGTTGTCTAAAGAAGTCATGCCAAAATCACTGCCTAACTCAGAGAAACTTGGAGAGAGCACTCATGTGCCACTTACCATGTCTGCATACCTGAGAGTCCCATGCATGTAACTTACTGCTGCTCCAAATACTGATATGGATCACAGGCTGCCATTTGTCTTCATAGTGTTCAAACATCAAACTTGTCCTTGTCACTATGTGTGTCCTATTCAGTCCAAAAACCAAGCCAAAAGTTGTCAAATCAAAATCATCAATATTTAGCAGCAAAACTAAAACCTGTAAGCACTTGTTTTTCTGCATGAAGTTCACCTGTCTATTTCTCTCTTTAAATAGGATCTGTTCTGTTTTACTGAAAAAAAAATACTGAGTGATCAAGTATATGCTTGGAATTCCTTGTGGAAGGAAACAATGCCAGCAGTTGCTGTTGTTTGTTTACATCTTAGGATGCTACTCTTTATTTTTGCTGTTAGATCCTGTAAAGGAGAAGCAGCTGTACTTCACGGGGTCAGTCTGTTAGTACTCTGAGTGAAAGTTAATGTGTTAAATTCTGCCTAGAGGCTGCAGATACTCCTGGAGTTGATGGAGCATCATTGTACAGTGTTCCATGGTACAGTGCTTAGTGCATAGGCAGCAATAGTTGGGTTTGGCTTTGGGAACCTGAGGCTAAAAGCATAACTCCTGTGCTCGCTGTGTACCTTCAGGTAAAGGGAAGTAGAACATCTACTGGTGTTTTGTTACAAGTTGTGTTGGGTGTTATTCTGGTTAGGGCTCAGGAAAATCTTCAAGTGGCAGAATAAAACACTCTTTTGTTTTATTTTGTTTTCCAATTTGCAGAAATGTTTTGCATTTGACCCACTAACAGGAAAACTCGTAATTAGTTCTGTTGGTACAAAATAGCATCTTAACCTTTTGCTCTCAGCCTGAGAACATAATTACAGCACATTTAAAACAGTGGAAACAGATAATTTAATGCTTGCTCAGTGGTAGAGAGAGTAACTTGCCTTGTGTCTCCCAGATCTGGAAGATTTTAGGCGCTACCTTGAAAAGCGTTTTGACTTTGAGCAAGTTACGGTGAAGAAATTCCGAACGTGGGCCGAGAGGCGACAGTTCAACCGGGAGATGAAGCGGAAGCAGGCGGAATCCGAGCGGCCCATCCTGCCTGCCAACCAGAAACTCATCACCCTGTCTGTGCAGGATGCTCCTATAAAGAAAGGTCAGTTTCTCTACCTGCAGTTCAGATATTCTGTATCAAAGGCTAATTGCAGTTCTAAGCTTGGCTGAAAGAAAAATAATCCTGTAATAAGCCAACTTTGTTCTTGATCTAGAATTTGTGTTCTTTGATCCATTGTATTTATATGTAGTATGTATATTATATATTATATATAAAATAAAGGAAAAAATGCTGTCAAAATATACTTCCTATTAAAAAGAATAATTCCTAAATGAAAGGATTTTTGTTTAAGGTTACAGTCCTGATAACTAGTAACTGCCTTCAGTTCTTGTTACTGTTGGTTGTTGCTGAAAACCCTCCTGCCTGGTCACTCAGTGCTACTGCCTCCTCAGTTCTGTACCAGTTCTAGTTGGTCCCAAATTAGGGGCTGGTTACAAATGCCATATTGATCCAGATTAAAACCTACTACTAAAAATGTAAAAGTAAAGCAATTTTACAGGTGCAGCTAATGAACTCTTTGTGCAGTTGTGTCCTGTGGTGTCAGGAGTGGATATCATGTCTGATGAGAATTTAGGGTGTTAGTTCTTGTCTGTATTGGCTGTGTAGCCATAGTAGCATGTTTGACTGCAGTTTGAGATTTGAAATATCCACAGACCTGTGATTTGGGTTCTGATTTTCTTTTGTCATGTTTCTGAGGTTCTGCTCCTCAACAGAATTAAAGCTTATGAGTTGCATATTGACCATTCCCTGTCACAGGGAGGCACAGCTGAGTCGTTACTTAATACACTTTATCTCCAAGTGTAGGTTTAGAGCCACATGGAAACTATCTAAATGAAAGACTTCCTTGCACTAAATCCTAACTTTCTCTCCCGTGCTGCCGCAGTGGCTGCTAAGCCAGGGCTGGTGCTCTGCACTAATGATGCTGTTGGAGTGACAAAAAAGCCCCAAGGAACCAAAGAGTAACCTTTCCAGTAACAAGAGCACATTGATGGCAAGGGGGCAGTGCCCTGATCTGTTTGCTAGACAAGATTTTTGAAGGGGGGGGGAGGGGAATGAGTCTGGTTTGTGGATTTCAAGTCTACGTGCCTGTTGTTGTGTCTCCCTTCTAACATGTGCTTAGAAGCAAATTAGAGGTTTTCTAATTGAGGTTGGCTGCCAGAAATGCTGTGTGTAGAGGTCCAGAGGCCATGGGACTGCAAACATTGAACATAGAATATTCAACATAGCTCATAATTAGTGCAGTTCCAGTTGTCAATACAAGTTTCTCAGACTTACATCTCAACATTTTTTCAGTGAAAATGGACTTTGAGGTCTTAGTTACCTATGGCTGATCTAACAGTACTGCATTTAATTTGAGCAAGCACTTATTCCTTGGAGCTTGTAACTTATTTATTTGCAGTAGAAATTATCTTTTAAAATGTGGAACTGCTTCTCTTCTTCCTCTCTCCCTGTTTTTGCAGAGTTTGTCATCAATCCCAATGGGAAATCCGAAGTTTGCATACTGCATGAATATATGCAACGAGTCCTAAAGGTTCGCCCTGTTTACAATTTCTTTGAATGTGGTAAGTCTGTTAAGTTTCTTTAATGGACCACATGCTGTTTTGAAGGGTTTATCTCCTGCTTGGATATACTAAAAAAAAGAAACAAAGCAATATTGAAATGATGGATATTTTCTGGGAATGTCTTGAAAGTCTATTGTGAGTCAATTAATTAATTTTGCTTATAGGATTAGAAGAGTAGATGTGTCATTGTATTGGACTAATTTAAGTAACTTAGAGTTACTGAGACTGTTCTGTGATTAGTGTGGGATTTGTGTGGAATGCCAGATGGGTATCTGTTTGTGTTTTTAAACAGCTTTTAATTTTAATGTTTCAGCAGTCTGAGATGCAGTTTGGTAGTTCCTGTGTAGCTTTTGTATTCACACTGTAATGCAAAAACTTTGGAATTAATATTTGAATTCTGGCAGATTACCAATGATGTCTTAGAATGCATAAGTTTTTCATTTGGACAATGAAGTACATAGTGGTAAGTCTCTGTTAATGGAAAACTCTTTGTTTTCCATGTGCTGGAATAAGCAATTTTTTCAGTCTTTCTGAAGAATAAACAATTTCCATCTGTCTTGAAGCTGAAATGAAGAAGAAGACAAGTCTTGGTGGTGGTGTTTCACGTTGATGAGTGTATTTTACATTGGGAGTTCTGAAAAGCTCTTCTTTTTTTTATCTCCTCCATTTCCAGAGAACCCAAGTGAACCTTTTGGAGCCTCAGTGATTATTGATGGAGTAACTTATGGGGCAGGAACTGCCAGCAGCAAAAAGCTTGCCAAGAATAAAGCTGGTAATGTTTTTTTCTTAATACCAACTGCTGAATCGTTTATCTGTTTTCATTTCTGCTTCGAAGATTACGTATTTGCCATAGTAAGTAGGAATAATTTTGTTAACAGTCAAAGAAGGTTCAGTCATGTCTTTTTGGTAAGTCACCTGCTATATAAACACTTGTGTATGGATTTTAGCAACATGTAAATATTTGCCCTTCTTTCAAAACAAGTAGGAAAAAATTCCTCAGACCTTTGGTTGTAGTGGTTTTCTTTCTGATAATAAAACAAATGTCCTGAACTATGTGATTATTGAATTCCAAGTACTTGTCTTCAGTAATTAGTTCTCATTGTGTAAGTCTGTAATAAATGTGTAAACAATGATGATCTAGATGGGACTGTCTGACACATCTGATACTTAGAATTTCTTACTGAGCTCCAGATTTAAATGTCTTTGGCACAAGGATCAAGAAAAAAATAACCTCTCAGCCTGTAAAGATGTGTAATGTCCCTGTGGTACTTTCTGCACTTGTGAAATATGTCACTGTAGGCAAATCCACAAAAAACAGCCCAGAATTGTGCAGGCAAAAAAGGTATTTTGCTGTGAAAATATAGGCAAATTCTAGGTGTGCTTTTTGTCCCATGCTGAGGTTCTGGATGCCCCAGTGGTACAGTGCTGGGGTTTGGCTGTAACAGCTAAGGGGTTTGAGAACAACTCTCTGGTTTTGGGTCCTCAGGGCTCTGTTTCTTTTAAAATTAGTCTTGAATGTTTTTTTCCTTTCATTGGCACTTGCAAAAAGAGCCAAAATTGTTTCTTCTTAGTTTAATTAGTTGTGAGATTTTACTTAGCAACTTGGATGGAAAAGTAAAACTTTTTTCCCCTAAAAGGTGTGTGCAGATATGTTTCCTACCAAAAGAAAATGCCCATCTGTTTCTAGAGGAGATGTTTTTCTCTATAATCATTGTTTAAAGTAAACCTAACCAAGATGCTTAATGCCTTTCTGCAGCTCGAGCTACACTGGAAATCCTTATTCCTGACTTTGTTAAACAAACCTCTGAGGAGAAGCCCAAAGACAGTCAAGAACTTGAGGTACTGAGCTCTTGCTTCCTGACTATCATTAGTGGAGTCTGTTTTTGATAACATTGTACCTTCAATATCAGAAATGTTGTTGAAAATTTGTAATGTTGTTTTCTCAGTCACATGGAAATGTGAAATTCTTCACTTAGAGCAAGACTATTTTTTGAATTGGAATTGATCAAAAAATGTCTTGTGATGCAGAGAACTAGTTCCTTATTGTGATATATCAGGTCACTGACTGAAGATCTGTGTTCCAAGACACTAGATTGCCTATACTGTCCTGACTTCCAGATCCTCTGGTTGATGCTTTGATAAGTTCAAAGCTAGATCCTGCCTAGTTTTGTGTGATTGTATCAGGAGACCAAGTGAGAACTAAAAGTGCTCAGACTCCTGAGATGTTTTTACTTACCTGTGAAATGTGCTTATTGCCAGCTCAGAGAGCTAAGATCTCAGGCTTTAGGCAGTGACACTTGAGAAAATCCAGGGAAAAGAGGAGTGTGTATGCTCGGTTCTCAGGTACTGGATGTGTTAAATAACTCCTTGATTAGTGATGCTTTCACAGACCAGAAAGGAGAAAAGGAGAAATCAGTGATCAGCCCCAAAGGAGTGTTTTCGTTTTAAAAAGTGTGACATGCAGAGTCAGTTGTTTGTTCCCTTGCTTTGACTTAAAACTGGATTGTGTGCCCTACACCACTGAAATGCTCATTAAGAAAATATAAATTTTTCCATTGTTGTAAAATAAAATGTAAAATGTTCTGTTTTCTTTTATTAAACCACAGCATGTTGGTAAATAGAATTTTATAATGAGTTAAATAAAATAACCTTGTCCTTAGGGAGAAATGATGATAAATAATTTATGAGATTTTTACAAGGTGGACATAAAAATGACAATGTAAAATTGGGAGTTCAAAGATTTATTTAAATTTCTGTCTGCAAATGTATGATGAAGTGTGACAGTTTTACTGATGTTGGTTGGGTTTAAAAACACTTAAAAAAAGTATTAAGCACAGAACAACAGAAATTGTTTAATGTCGCAAAGGAGAACTGAGGGTTAAGGACAGTGTTAGGTGTTGTTTGCACGAAGCACCATAACCTTTTCTATTCCTCTGTAGTATTTTAACCATATCAGTATTGAGGACTCACGGGTATATGAACTCACCAGTAAAGCAGGACTCCTGTCTCCATATCAGATTCTCCATGAGTGCCTTAAAAGGTGAGGGAAATTGTGTTGTACAGGTGTTGGGTTGGGGCATGCTGTCTGTGTGGTGCTGGTACCTGCCGTGTGACGCTGACATTTGGGGGTTGGCCAAGCCTGCTGTGCTGCCTGTGGCTGAGACACACACTGGGGACTGAACTGGTTAATGCTGAGTCTTCTCTAACTCATATTTGCTGGTTTTGCCTCTTTTGAGGTTGGGATTTAGTTGTGGGACATATAAATACATTTGGTTTTCATTTATCCAGGCTTGCTTTTTCATTCAACTCAAGTGACTGATCTAAAAAACCCTCTTAAGTGATGTCTTGAAATTTAGTATTAATGTATCTAATTTCATTGCAATGACTGTCAAAGATAACTGCAACCACTTCTTGTTTGTAGTTTACTTAGTCTATGATCTTGATTTTGTTTGTGCTTAAAGAAACCATGGAATGGGTGATACATCCATTAAGTTTGAAGTGATTCCTGGGAAAAATCAGAAGAGTGAATATGTCATGACTTGTGGCAAGCACACGGTGCGAGGCTGGTGTAAGTATAGCACTTGGTGTGAGCTCTGGTAATGTTCTCCTCTCGTCCTGCTCTGTGTGCTCTCCGTTTTGTAGGTGCTTGTTGAGCTGTGGAGCTTGTTCCTTCTTACCTCCTCTCGTATCTGTTTTGACTAACACAAGTGAACATTGGTGTTCATCTCATTACATCACGTGCCAGTATTGACACGCTTCCATGATTATCTTCACAGGCAAAAATAAAAGAGTGGGGAAGCAACTAGCTTCCCAGAAAATCCTACAGCTACTGCATCCACATGTGAAAAATTGGGGCTCTCTCTTGCGCATGTATGGCAGAGAGAACAGCAAGCTGGTTAAACAGGTGAACATGCTTTGATTATAACCTTCCTTCTGACTGAAGTGCTGCTTTTGTATTCTTCTGGATGCTTAAATTTAATTACAACAAAGCTTTAAGGGTATGTGTTTTGCGTGCTGGGGGTGGTCCCTCTCATGGCAAAGGCAGTGTGCGTTGGAGTTCAGTTCTTCTGAACTGTTCTCACACTTTGCTGTTGCCAGGGCACAGGCTGAGTGATGTCACTGACAGTAACAATTGTGTTAATCTTGCAGCTTCCAGGTCAAAATTATATAACCTATTTAATATTTATCATTTAGCTAACTCCTGGAAGTACATGTTATTACTTAAGGAAGTACAACTATCACAGAGTAAACTTTGCTCCATATATGTTAATTTTTTTAGTCAAAAAAAGTTCATCAGTTGTTGCTTATGGTTCTGTTGAACAGGAAACCTCTGATAGAAGTGTGATAGAACTTCAGCAGTATGCCAAAAAGAACAAGCCAAATCTGCACATCCTGAACAAGTTACAGGAAGAAATGAAAAAACTGGCACAGG